GCTGGCGCTGGAGCACTTCCATGAGGTTCGTGATGAAGAAGTTGTTCTGCAGAGCGGCCACCCCCTTCTCGGGGAGGATGGAGGTCTGGCGGCAGACGGGGCAGGAGAGGGTCAGGCTCTGGGGAGGGATGTAGTTCTGGAGACACCTGGCCAAGGGGGAAAAAGGCGAGTCAGGACGGGCACTGGACCTTGGCTGAAGGCAGCGGCCGGGGCCCTCAGCCACAGCCAGCCCTTGAAAGGACCAAGTTGGGGGAGGGGGGAGCAGGCACTGGGTGCCCCAAGTAGCCAGCCGGCCCTCTTGCTTCAGTCCTCCCCATGCTGGGCCCATGCTTGAGGCTCCTGCTATTCAGCCTGCCTGCTCCCCCAACCAGCTGTGGGCCCCAGAGGTTCGGGGTGAACCGCCATGGTCTGCCCACTGCCTCGACACCTCCAGCCCACCCCTCGAGCGGGTTCCGCTTCCTTGCAGCCACCCCCAATAAGGCTACAGCTTCAGTGCAGGAGATGGTCCCTGTCCACAAGGCCATGCCACACCCAGCAGAGAATCAACGCACAAAGTCTTTTGCCAGCCTGAACACCCTCGAATTTCCAGCTCTCCGTGAGGTGCCGGAAGAGAGTGAGCCCAGCTGCTCCAGGCCTTGGCTCACCGCATGGAAAGCGGGGGGGGGGGGGGCTTCTCTCGTGGGCAGGGTGGGCTGGAAAGAGGACCATGGTCCTGCTCAGGCTCCAGCCAGGATTTGCACCAGAGCCCGGGGCTTCCTATTCCAGGCCAGGGAGCAGCTGCAGCTGAAACGCTCAGCAAGGCGAAAGGGAAGTGGGTTCCCTTCCTCAGAGGAGGGGGATGGCTGGGACTCTCGAGTCTCCTCCCCCCTCCCCCGCCCGCTTAGGAGACCCAGCAAATCTTCCTTCCCCTTTTGTGCGTGAACAATCGACCGGCAGTGGGTCACACCGAAGACCCCAAGAGTCACACGCAAGCATCTCCCCAAATGCCTCGGCCGCCACCCTTCCCTCTGCTCTGCAGGACCTGCCTTCAGAGCCAACGCCGGGAGCCAGCCCGTTGCCCACAGAGGAGCCTTGGCATCGTGAGGAGGACCCCGTTGCCCCGAAGGCCGAGGCAGGCACTGCACCAGGGGAGCAACCCTTGGGCCCCTTCCCCAGACCGAGTGGCAAGGCCCAAATTCCGGGTCTGGTGTGGACGCAGCTTCCCTGGGGGGAGGGGGTTTGGCCAGGCCTCTTGGATGGCCAGCCCTGGGCACCCCCGTCTAAGCGGGAAGCATCCTCTGGCCAGCGGAGCCCAGCGGAGAGCTTTGGCCAATGCAGAAGCAGAGGGGCCCATTTTGGCTTCGGGAGACTGCAGGGACCAGCGCAGCTGCTAGCAAATTCTGCCTCAGACAAATCCAGCAAAGAATTGGCGTGGGGGCCAGAGACCACATCAGCACCACAGTCCACCATGTGGGAGACCCAGAGGCCTGTCAGCTCTGAGCAGTTTCCAGGGTCCTCCTAACGGTGGGAGACGGGTGGGCTTCATCACTGGCCGAAGAGCCTGAGTGGGTCAGCCCAGAGGCTTCCCTTCCAGGAGCGCCACCACCCGCTCTCTCCAGGGCCTCTGGGGACCCGGCAGTTTCCCTCTGCTGTGCTTGTACCAATGACCTTGGCCGGTAGGAGGCAGAGCCACAAAACCCAACGGAACATTTCGGAAGGGAACACAGACACACAGACACACTTTTGGGGAGAGTGGAAGGCGGGGGTGGGGGTGAAGAATAATTTCCATCCTGCAAGAATCTCTTGTCCCCTTACGAGAGAGAGAGCGAGCAAGGACTCCCGGCCGTATTCTGGGCTGGCCTACCTCGCAGGGCAAAGGGTCTGTGCTTAAGTGGAGTCCTTGTGTCCTCCAAAGGAAAAAGGGTGGGTTGAAACCCATTTGCTCTGCCTGAACCTTCCCTGCCTTCTAATGTTACAGATGCCTGTCAGGGAGCCCAGAGCACCGTAGGTCCCATCCATTCTGCTTGGGTGGGTTCTACCCCCCCCCCCATCCTCCTTAGACCCTCACTCAACGGCTCAAAGGAAGCACAGAGGCTGCAGCGCAACCCGAGTCCCACGCCTGACCCAGCGCAGCCCTTACGGCAGCCTGCAGGCTTTGGGGGCCCCCTCGGAGGGAGGGGGGGCCAATCTGCGGAGGGGGGTTGAGAATAGCTCCCCCCCCCGCAACGCCCTGTCGTCATTCTTCATCCGCTCAGCGAGCCTCTTGGCCAGCCCCAGCGGCCACCCGGAGGCCGGAGGTGGGAAGCAGGCCGGGACTCCCCCCCCCGGGCAGACGGCGGGGCCGCGGCGCTCACCTCTCGCAGAAAGTGTGCAGACAGGGCAGCACCTTGGGGTTGTGGTAGCGGTCCAGGCAGATGCTGCACACCAGGAACTGCTTGTCGATCTGCCGCACCACCGGGCTGGAGCTGGACTCGCGCTTGGCCATGGCGGGAGGCTGCGCGGCGCCTCTGCTGCTGCTGCTGCTGCTGCT